CCTTGTACAACTACAGATCCCAGGACTCCGTAGCATTAAGCCATGGCAGTTCAAGTGGCATTAAATTGCATTCATTCTCCAGTTTAGACTTATTGGTCAATCCAAGGGCAAATATGAAAGTTGTTGGCTATTTGTATGTACAAGCAAACGTTGTATGAGTGAATTTGTGTGTCAGTTACCAGCATCTCAAATTTTGTATCACGATTCAGTTCATTACATGGACTGTAAGACTGAGACCCCTTGTACATTGTCATATAATCTAGATTATCAAAGCAGTTAATCCACATTATCTGCTTTGAGCTGGATTATATGAGCCTACAATCTATATAAATAAAAATGGAATGTCCGTTTGTGGGATTAACAGAACTCAAATGTGCCAATTGACACTAAATTTGGACAGCATAGACCTCACAACCCAATGTATGTCCTTCACTCAAATTTTTTTGATTTTGTCATTTGGGAGTTGTAGTTGCTGGGATTTATAGTTAACCTACAATCTAAGAGCATTCTGAACTCCACCAATTATGACATTGAACCAAATGTGGCACAAAGGAAATGCTTGTGGATTTCAATGGCTTCTCTGTGTAATCTGACATAGAATCATAGAATCATAGAATCAAAGAGTTGGAAGAGACCTCATGGGCCATCCAGTCCAACCCCATTCTGCCAAGAAGCAGGAATATTGCATTCAAATCACCCCTGACAAATGGCCATCCAGCCTCTGCTTAAAAGCTTCCAAATAAGGAGCCTCCACCACACTCCGGGGCAGAGAGTTCCACTGCTGAACGGCTCTCACAGTCAGGAAGTTCTTCCTCATGTTCAGATGGAATCTCCTCTCTTGTAGTTTGAAGCCATTGTTCCGCGTCCTAGTCTCCAAGGAAGCAGAAAACAAGCTTGCTCCCTCCTCCCTGTGGCTTCCTCTCACATATTTATACGTGGCTATCATATCTCCTCTCAGCCTTCTCTTCTTCAGGCTAAACATGCCCAGCTCCTTAAGCTGCTCCTCATAGGGCTTGTTCTCCAGACCCTTGATCATTTTAGTCGCCCTCCTCTAGACACATTCCAGCTTGTCAATATCTCTCTTGAATTGTGGTGCCCAGAATTGGACACAATATTCCAGATGTGGTCTAACCAAAGCAGAATAGAGGGGTAGCATTACTTCCTTAGATCTAGACACTAGGCTCCTCTTGATGCAGGCCAAAATCCCATTGGCTTTTTTTGCCGCCACATGGTGGTTGTGAGAGTGGTCCAGCATTTCTGTGTTCTCAAATAATTTGCTGTGTCCAGGTTCAGTAAAGGACAAGAGGGATCCTCTCACCTCTGCAGGAGTCTACCGTATACCATGCAGCTGTGGACAAGTCTACATAGGGACCACCAAACGCAGCATTGCCCAAACACGAATCAAGGAACATGAAAGGCACTGCAGACTACTTCAACCAGAGAAGTCAGCCATAGCAGAGCACCTGATGAACCAACCTGGACACAGCATATTATTTGAGAACACAGAAATGCTGGACCACACCAACAACCACCATGTCAGACTACACAGAGAAGCCATTGAAATCCACAAGCATGTGGACAATTTCATCAGAAAGGAGGAAACCATGAAAATGAACAAAATCTGGTGGCTACCAGTATTAAGAAACTAAAATTACAATAACAAAACAACAGAGAGGAAACAATCAAGGACAACTAATCACCTCTCAACAAAAGATTGCCCCAGGCACTGCCAGGCAATCAACTGCTAATCAAACACCTAGCTCCACCAGACAAGAGTCCTTTGTCCCACCCTGGTCTTTCCACAGATATATAAACCCATTTTCTCCTAGTTCCAACAGACCTCACTACCTCTGAGGATGCTTGCCATAGATGCAGGCGAAACGTCAGGAGAGAATGCCTCTAGAATATGGCCATGTAGCCCGAAAAAACCTACAATAACCCAGTGATTCCGGCCATGAAAGCCTTCGACAATCCTTTCGGTATATATTTCAGATTTCATTTCAAGATTCATAGTATGATTTTACATAGGATTTGTGCTACATTAGAACAGTTAAGACAAATATCATTTAAGAAAAATAAACATTAAATATTAAGTAACCAGAAAAAATAAAATAAGGTGTCCTTAAAATATTAGTCCTTGGAAACAGAGCTTTGTGTCCCCTGCCCCATGGGGCCTTACTTTTCCCCATCTGTGAAATGGGTCAATGGAATCTTTGTATGTTGTTTTGTGGGCTGCTCATCTTCCAAGACTATCCCTTGAGACAGGAGAACATGGGTATGATTTATCTATGTGGGCACAAGCCAGGCACATGGGTTTTCCCCACAGAGGTGACTCTCTGGAATGGGTTGCACATGTGCCAATGTTGCAAGCAAGGCTTGAGTAATGCTCATTTAAAGCCTGTGGTAAGGGAGGGTCCAAGGGCTGTCATGCTTCCTCAGTGGGGGATTTTCTTGGCCACACATTGCAAATTGATATGGCTCTGGTTTCAAAAATTATGTCATAATTGTTTGTTTTATAACAGGCTTGGCAAACTTGGGCCCTCCAGGTGTTTTGGACTTCAACTCCCACAATTCCTAACAGCCTACCGACTTTTAGGAATTGTGGGAGTTGAAAACCAAAGCACCTGGAGGGCCCAAGTTTGCCAAGCCTGTTATAAAACAAACAATTATGACATAATTCCTGGTCAAGGTGGAGAAGTCATATTCCCACTCTATTTTGCCTTGGTCAAACCTCACCTGGAATAACTCTTTGTGTCCAATTCTGGGCAAAACAATTCAAGAAGGATACAGACAAGCTGGAATATGTCCAAAGAAAAGTGAACATAGAATCATAGAATCAAAGACTTGGAAGAGACAACATGGGCCATCCAGTTCAACCCCATTTTGCCAAGAAGCAGGAATATTGCATTCAAATCACCCCTGACAGATGGACATCCAGCCTCTGCTTCAAAGCTTTCAAAGAAGGAGCCTCCACCACACTCCAGGGCAGATGAAAATGATGAAAGGTTTAGAACAGTGTTTCTCAACCTGGGGATCGGGACCCCTATGGGGGTCGTGAGGGGGTGTCAGGAAACCATCAGGAAACACAGTATTTTCTGTTGGTCATGGGGGTTCCGTGTGGGAAGTTTGGCCCAATTCTATTGTCGGTGGGGTGTAGAATGCTCTTTGATTTTAGGTGAACTATAAATCCCAGTAACTGCAACTCCCAAGTGTCAAAGTCTATTTTCCCCAAACTCCACCAGTGTTCACATTTGGGAATATTGAGTATTCGTGCCAAGTTTGGTCCAAATCCATCATTGTTTGAGTCCACAGTGCTCTCTGGATGTAGGTGAACTACAACTCCAAAGCTCAAGGTCAATGCCCACCAAACCCTTCCAGTATTTTCTGTTGATCATGGGAGTTCTGTGTGCCAAGTTTCATTCAATTCCATCATTGGAATGGCTTTGAAATACAAGAAAGGAGATTCCATCTGAACATGAGGAAGAACTTCCTGACTCTGAGAGCCGTTCAGCAGTGGAACTCTCTGCCCCAGAGTGTGGTGGAGCCTCCTTCTTTGGAAGCTTTTAAACAGAGACCATATGGCCATCTGTCAGGAGTGCTTTGAATGCAATGTTCCTGCTTCTTGGCAGAGGGTTGGACTGGATGGCCCATGAGGTCTCTTCCAACTCTAGGATTCTATGATTCTATGAACTGTACCCTCGGTTTGCTTCTGATGGTTGTTTTTGTTTATTCATTCAGTTGCTTCCAAATCTTTGTGAAATTATGGACCATCCCATGGCAGAGCTCCCTGTCAGTCATGGCTACCCCCAGAGCTCCTTCAGAGTCAAGCCAGTCACTTCAAGGATACCATCAATCCATCTTGCCCTTGGTCAGCCCCTTTTCCTTTTTCCTTCCATTTTCCCAGCATCATTGCCTTCTCTAAGCTTTCCTGTCTTCTCATAATGTGGCCAAAGTACTTCATCTTTGCCTCTACTATCCTTCCCTCCAATGAGCAGTCGGGCTTTATTTCCTGGAGTATGGACTGGTTGGATCTTCTCGCAGTCCAAGGCACTCTCAGAATTCCTCCAGCACCACAGTTCAAAAGCATCTATCTTCTTTCGCTCAGCTTTCCCTAAGGTCCAGCTCTCACATCCGTAGGTGACTACAGGGAATACCATGGCTTTGACTACGCGGATCTTTGTTGCCAGTCTGATGTCTCTACTCTTCACTATTTTATCGAGACTGGACATTGCTCTCCTCCCAAGAAATAAGCGTCTTCTGATTTCCTGGCTACAGTCTGCATCTGCAGTAATCTTTGCACCTAGAAATACAAAGTCTGTCACGGCCTCCACGGTTTCTCCCTCTATTTCCAGTTGTCAATCATTCTTGTTGCCATAATCTTGGCTTTTTTGTTGTTTGACTGCAACCCAGCTTTTGCGCTTTCTTCTTTCACCTTGATTAGAAGGCTCCTCAGCTCCTCCTCGCTTTCGGCCATCAGAGTGGTGTCATCTGCATATCTGAGGTTGTTAATGTTTCTTCCAGCAATTTTCACCCCAGCTTTGCATTCATGAAGCCCGCACATCCTCGCATGATGTGTTCTGCATACATACCATTGCTTTAACTATGTGGACCATTGTTGCCAGTGGGATGTCTCTACTCTTCACTATTTTATCGAGATTGGTCATTGCTCTCCTCCCAAGAAGGAGGATTTCCTTTCCTTAGCTGATATTGCATTCTGTGTCTGCAGTCATCTTTGCACCTACAATACAAAGTCTGTCACTTCCCCAAAGGACGTAGTTCCGCAGTTTGGGGACGCTCCTGGACTCAGCACTTATGCTTGAAGCTCATGGGTCAGCGGAGGCCTGGAGGGCCTTTGGACAGTTAAAACTGGTGCACCAGCTGCGACTGTACCTCAAAAAGCCCGATTGGTATTCATGTACAGGTGATCGACCTATACGTGAAAATATATGGTAACAATAATGCACCAATTCCATTCTTCCCCTTAAAGTGAATGTGTGACCATGAGATGCAGTGCCAGCAACAAGGCGGAAGTCGTGCTGGCGGCCTTTGAAAAGAGAAGGCACCACGGTGCATTACATCCTTTAACAACCTGAAAGCAAAAGAATTAAAAATGAACTTTTAAACCCTGGGAAGACATCAGCTGAGCGGACCAGAAATGTGCCTGGGCCCTTCACGTGGCTTCCCTTCCCTTCCTTTTGCTTTTCTCTCCCCCCCCCCCTTCCGTGTTGCTGAGTTCACTTTACAAACAGAAGGTGTGCTCCGTCTCCGTACAGCCTCGGGCGTAGTTTGTACTTTGCCTGGATTCGAACTTCTGTTTACCCAGGCAGTAAACCGGTCCTCTTCTCTTCCAGGTGTAAAAAGCGATTATGAAAAAAAGGAGACCTTGTTGGGAGGTGACCCCGCCTTGTGCACGGCTGGAATGTGCGCTGGCCGTAATACACGGCTGGAGAGATTCCTTTTAGAAGTGCGCAAGCCAAAAATATTTTAGAAACAAATGCCAGGTCTGTTGGGCACAGAAGCCTTGTGCAGCTGTTGTCACAGAAGACACCCCAAGAGCCATCCAGTGCAACCCCTTCTGCCAGGTGGGATGACACAATCAAAGCCCTCCCAAAAGATGGCCACACAGCCTCTGTTTAAAGACATCCAGAGAATGGATTTGCATATTCCAATATGGCAGTCTGCCATCCACCCAGACACTATAAAAAAAATAAAACTGCAACGTGCTTCTCTCTATGTCTGACAGAACTGCAGGTGTCTTTCTTGAGAAGCTTGAGATACTCAGCAACTGAGGCTATGATTGGTTTCAAACATCAAAAAAGGATATTTATTTATACAAAGTCCTTGCAGACTTGGCACAGTTCATCAAAGTTACAAACAATCAATTGGTAAAGCATAGAGATGAGCTCCAGTGGTCAGAAAAAAGCAGGTTTTTTCCCTATCTATTGCTCAAAGTTAGCTTTGGAGGCAAATGCTCAATACTATTGTGCAGAAGTTATTGATACTGTGTATATGTTTAACTGTTAGAATATATTCGTGTTGGTAACAGTAGCTGAAGCTAGAGCTAACTGGTTGTATCCACAGTGGCGTTGCCAAGGAGACCAGGCAAGAGAGTGAGAAGTGGGCGGAGCCTAGCAAGAGAATGTTATCTGCGTCTTTGAAAAGAAGCAGTTCAGTGGGGAGTTAGCAGTCGGAGTTGGGAGTTGAGAGAGGAGAGTGGAGAAGCAGTGTGTGTGATATAGCCGGAGGTTTCTTCAGTCTAGGAAGGTTGAAGGGGAAAACCTAATTAGTTTCTTTAGTCAGAGAGGACTAAAGGAAGCTTGTTTAGATCACTAGTTAGGAAAGAACTAGAGATCTAGGATTTGATCAAATAGGAAGGCTATTCACCTCAGGAAACATTGTTTAAGAAAGTGCTTCACCACAGTAAAAGTCAATCACAAGTTGTGTCATCGAGAAGAGAGAACTGTATTACAAACCAAGTTACATTCCAAGTTCTATAAGTTATTCAAAGTAATTCCAAGTTAACTACCAGCCTGCAACCATACGCTTTGTACAAAATAAACTTATTAACTTTTGTTGAAGACCGTGTCATCTCCATTTATCTGCGTCTGGGGAGCTAGTTCTCATCGGCAATACCTCACGTTGGTGGCAGTTACCTTAATTACATCCATAATCATCCACACCTGTATAATTGGTGGCAGAATTAAGAACAGTCTTTACAATTGGTGACAGTGGGTGGGTTCTTTAAAGTTAAAAACCCTATACCCTGTCTATTGTTGGAATTGCAGCACCTTAGCAATTGGCACAATTGTACAACTGGTGCGTGCAGACTTCGCAAATTTGATGTCAGAGGTGGGATAGACTTCGCACTATCTATCTAACTCAATAGTTCTCTCTCAATAAACTCAATACTCAATACTTTCTTAATAGCTTTTCTATTAATCTATCTATAATTTCTCTATATAGCTCAATACACAATATACTATCTATATTAACTTAATATAGCTTAATATACAATACACAATATATAATGTATAGCTTAATACTCAATATATAATGTGTAGTTTTTGCAATGGTTTTCCCAGAGCTACCTGCCTAACCATCAGCACGTCTGAAGTCTTTCCTCTAAACTGAAAAGGCTGGGGAGGTTCCAAAATGGAGATCTTTTCCCTGGGAGAAAAGGCGGTCCCTAGACCCAAAGAGATACCTTTCTGAACCAATAGCTGCAAAGGAGGCCTGCAGACTGGCTTTGCAGACTCTGATACTATTAACTTTCAGGGCTCTTGCAAAGCTGCAGCAGCCCTGGGAGAAAATGCAAGAGGGAGCAACCTCAAGCAACTGTAAAGTAAGGCAAATTGGGCTCCTGGGAGATGGAACAGGCAGTGTTTCTCAACCAGGGTTGGGACCCCTGGGGGGGTCATGAGGGGGTGTCAGAGGGGTCACCAAAGACCATCAGAAAACAGTATTTTCCATTGTTCATGTGGTTTCTGTGTGGGAAGTTTGGCCCAATTCTATCTCTTTGATTGTAGGTGAACTATAAATTCCAGCAACTACAATTTCTAAATGAGAAAATCAATCCCATCCAACCCCACCAGTGTTCACGCTTGGGCATATTGAGTATCCGTGCCAAGCTTGATCCAGATCTAGGTTCTTGTAGGTTTTTTCGGGCTATAGGGCCATGTTCTAGAGGCATTTCTCCTGACGTTTCGCCTGGATCTATGGCAAGCATCCTTATGATGTCTGTTTTATAGGCCTGGGTAACAACGGAAAAATTTGTTTCTAAAATCGATTCGTTTTTTGGGGTTTTTTGCGTTTCGTTATTTCAAATAATTACAAAATTTTCCTTTTAAAAAGTTCGATATTTACGAAATTTCGTAAATGTGAAAAAAATTACAAAACATTAACGAATCGATTTCCGAAACAATAACGAATCGATTCGTTAATGGCGGACGCGACCGCGAAATACGCTAAAAAACCTCCAAAAACTTCTGAAGCTTCCCTCTCCCTCTGTTGTTTACTGTTGGTGTGATATTATAATTTTTTTTCACTAATTAAACAAAAAACTTGCCCCAGACATGCGGAAATAATAACGAAACGACCTCAGAACAATAACAAAACGAATACAATAACGAAATACGAAGCATTTACAAAACGTGTTTAAAAATTCGTTTTTTTTAAAAATTGCTCCAGAATGGTTCGTTATCGTTTTGTAATTGAAAAAATTAATGAATTATTAACGAATTACGAATTAACGAAACGAAACCGCCCAGCCCTAGTGCTTGCAGGCGAAACGTCAGGAGAAATGCCTCTAGAACATGGCCCTATAGCCCGAAAAAACCTACAAGAACCTAGTGATTCCAGCCATGAAAGCCTTCGACAATACATTGATCCAGATCCATCATTGTTTTGAGTCCACAGTGCTCTCTGGATGTGGGTGAACTACAACTCCAAAACTCAAGGTCAATGCCTACCAAACCCTTCCAGTATTTACTGTCAGAGTTCTGTGTGCCAAGTTTGGTTCAGTTCCATCATTGGTGAAGTTCACAATGCTGTTTGATTGTAGGTGAACTATAAATCCCAGCAACTACAACTCTCAAATGACAAAATCAACCCCCCCCCCCACCCAACCAAACCACTATTCAAATTTGAGTGTATCAGGTATTTGTGCCAAATTTGGTCCAATGAATAAAAATACATCCTGCATATCAGATATTTACATTATGATTCATAACAGTAACAATATTACAGTTGTGAAGTAGCAACGAAAATAATTTTATCGTTGCCGGTCACCACAACATGAAGAACTGTTTTAAGAGGTCATGGCATTAGGAAGGTGGAGACCCACTGCTCTAGTTGAAACTACTAGGATTTGGGCCAATGGGTAGTTTTGGTGAATTGATTTCATTTGCCATATTTCATTAGAAAAACGTGTTTTCCTGTTCCTGGGTTGTTTTGGTTTTGTGGATCGGTTGCTGTTGTATAATTCTTGAAGGAACTGGTGTGTTCCTTTGCTTTGAGCGAAACAGATTAGAATCAAACCATCTGCAGGCTTTCGAGGTAGAAAGGTCAGGTGGAAAGTTCGCAAACCCTGCTGCAGAGAGGACTCTATATAGTCAGGTATAAGTCAAGAATTGTTCGTTGAAACAATTGTCCCCTTGCGGAGGAGGGGCAAGTGTGTTTTCTGCTGCTCCGCGACTAGGACACGAATGGAGCCATAGATTCAAATGACAGGAAAAGAGTTGGACTGGATGGCCATTAGGAGCCCCTTCTAGCTCTAGGATTTTATGGTTCTATGAATGGATTCCCCAAACCATGGGTATTTGAGGTTTAGAGCAAATTCAGAAAAGGGCAAGAATCATAGAATCCTAGAGTTGGAAGAGACCTCATGAGCCATCCAGTCCAACCCCATTCTGCCTAGAAGCAGGAATATTGCATTCAAAGCACCCCCGACAGATGGCCATCCAGCCTCTGTTTAAAAGCTTCCAAAGAAGGAGCCTCCACCACACTCTGGGGCAGAGAGTTCCACTGCTGAACGGCTCTCACAGTCAGGAAGTTCTTCCTCGTGTTCAGATGGAATCTCCTCTCTTGTAGTTTGAAGCCATTGCTCCGCGTCCTAGTCTCCAGGGAAAGGATGATAACAGGGATGGAGAACAAGACCTGTGAGGAGTTGCTGAAGGTAGACGAAGCTTGGTGAAGAGAAGACTGAAGAGAAGACTCTTTTAGTATCTAAAAAGGTTCCATAAAGAAGAGGACACTAAGTGGAATGTTTTGACGTTGTAGGAGGGTAGGTTTTGTTGGAACATTAGAAGGAACCGTATAAGAAGAGGAGAGGTTCAGTAATGGAAACTGGAGAGGCCTCCCCCTCTGGATGTCTCCAAAAAGCATTCAGACAGCTCCCTGCTGGGAATGTTTCACCTGGAGACCTTGTACTGAGAAGTAGGTGGGACCCCATGGTTTTGGCATGGCATTGAATGTTTCCCATTGTGTTTATTTTGTTGGAAACCGCCCTGTGTCCCCTCAAGGAGATACACTATCATCATTATTATCATCATTATCACCATCATCATCCATAGAGATACCAAGGTGCTTGTTTATAAAGCTATTGTCCTCCCAACCCTGCGATATGCCTGTGAAACGTGGACTATCTACAGACGTCACATGGAGCGATTCCATCAGTGTTGCCTCCAAAAAATCCTGCAAATCTCTTGGGAAGACAGACGGACAAATGTCAGCATGCTGGAAGAAGCAAAGACCACCAGCATTGAAGTGATGCTCCTCCGCCATCAACTCCACTGGAGCGGCCACATTGTCCGGATGCCTGACCTCTGTCTCCCAAAGGAGTTGCTCTATTCTGAAGTCAAGAATGGAAAACAGAATGTTGGTGGGCAGGAAAAGAGATTTAAAGATGGGCTCAAAGCCAACCTTAAACTGGGAAGCCCTGGCCCTTGAGTGCTCCAGCTGGAGGTC